GGTAAGTCACACCGCTTTCCACGAGTCGTTCGATTCGAGCTCTCTTTTGTTTTGTGGCAATGACGATCGAGCTTAGTAAGAATGAATGACAGTTCACTCGAGCGACAATTAGATGACTGCCTTGCGGTAAAATGAACACACAAAATAATGAAGTTCGACCTTATGTAGCTGATTAGATAAAAACGCTGATTACGACAAGTACATGTAATGTACGGGCCCGTATTTCGTCATTTCCGATTGTGATGACGACGGCGAATATACGGCGTGGCTGCTGACGGCGGCAATAAGGGGGCCATTTAATACTTGTTGCACTGCTGGTGAGTACTTCGTCGGCGTGAAGTCTGGCCGGCGACCGAAACTGAAGTTTAATCATTTATTAGTTCAGGCATTTGTTTAAACCTCGTGAAGAAAATACCCATGAAGCATTTTCAAAACCAGGGTCATCTTTGTGAACAGAGCTGAAACCGAATTGCTGAGTGCCTAAAACGTACAAAACCTGGCTGCTTTATTGCCGCATCAGTCCAGAACACTGGCGCTAAGGTCGTTCGTAATTTACGGTAGGTACTGCTCTCACTGTCGCAACGAGTTGTCGCCATACAACGTGAATGGGAATGGAAAAACAGGCTGGCAACTTCCACATGCGTTTCGCCGTCACAAAGAAAAACAAACGAACTGTTGAATGGAAAACATAGGGCTGTGCAAACGTGGCAACATCTCACGTGGCGCTGACAATGTGGAAAGTAGACGACCTTACTGGTGATTGTACGTTGGTTTGCATTGCAAATTGAAAGGTGCTGTGCTCACGACCCGAGCACTGACGGTGGTATCTACGGCATGTGTTCCAGAGAATGGAGACAATGCAGTGTTTGGACAGTGGGTAAAAGATACCACTCGTGTTGGCACTACTGCCTTCGTGCTGGAGTCCTATGCCTTAGGAACAGCATGAAGTCACTTGCATCAGAAATTCGACGCGACAAGCGGCGGAAGGACTTGTCCTACGGTGAGGAAGACAATTGTTGTTGACAGTCGTCCTCAGCCTTTCCTCATGAGTGCTGGTTACATCTAGGAATTTTCTAACCTATGCCAACATTTTTGAGCACGAAATACTTTTGTGGAACACGGAGAAAAAAGTTATCTGAGCTTTATAAGCGGCCATTTGCTTGCATTTGGTTGGCCAAAATTACATCTCCGACCAATATAACATCCAGATAATATTTTACACGTAATCAATAATTTCTGCTACCACTCACATGGCAATGATCACTTAATTGCAGTCAGTTTTTTTTTAATACTCTTTATCTACAGGGGGCAAAGAAAATCGTGGTGAAGCAATTTCTAGCAAATACAAAATATTTACTGTGGAAGCAGAAAACATACAATACGGTCACCAGTTTTAAAAAACCGTGATACAAAAATCTAATCTAACAATCCAACCCGAGCTAAACAAGTTTTCTAGCTTCAGAGGTAGCATTGACGGGTTATACCGATGGTAGAAGACTTTTTGTATTCCAGAAGTATTATTTTTTAATCACGGGGTCGAAGGGAGAAATCAATAATGGAGCGTGTTCTTCAAAATGCCAGAAATACATTATGCGTATGGAAATATGTACAAATGAAGGTACTTTTAGAAACGGTAACATTTGAATTAGGTCACAGTTCAGTACTGTGTTTCTCATACATGTACACTCGACTGTTTGCGTACAAACAATTCGTCGCCGATTTTAGACGGTTCTAAAGGGTTTCATTAAATGAAGTTTCGGGGCCTCAGGGTTAGATAAAGGCTGCCGCTTGCTGGAGAGAAGCCCTCGGACTCCAACTTTCTCAAGAAGAGTTTGCAAAAGCGTGGAAATGCTAACAACGATAAAAGACATACTTCTCTTTTCTAGAAACAGGTTTTCGACCAGGTTTTCAGATTTCAAAATCTGGACGCGAACGTCGTCGTTTTAGAAAGTGTGAGGTGCAAGTAGAGCAGCAATCAGTCAGCACGGCTTTAATGCTCTTTTGGTCTACAAAAAGTTCTTTCGCAGCCCCTATGCCAGCGAGAGATTCGATGAGATAGCCTTGACCTCACGCTGCATGCCTCAGCTCAACCAACTAGGTTAAGCTA